GGTTCTGCTAGCATTTTTTTGTGATATAAGTATATCAATGGAGAGAGAGAGAGACATGTTTATATGCCTGCTGTCAATGTTTTCCATCCTGTTGTTCTTTAACGTGTTGCACTCCTCCTTCCTCCCCCCTGTTCTTTTTCTTCTCCATTTTTGTGTGGTTGTAGTCGCATACGCCATACAAGCGGTATTATTGTTATTATTGACAGTAGTAGTAGTATTTTAATCCCTTTTGTTATTTACACCCGAGAAGTGTGCGTTTGATTTCCCGACAACCCAGTCATCATCATCATCCGCAGCAGCAGCAGCAGCCTTATCCAGAGTAATAAGCCGTGTGTCCCCATGCTCGCCAGTGTACTTCGCCGTGGCGGCCATGAAGCGTCGTCCAGCGCGTCCCATCACATCATTGCGCCCGTTGCCGCCCTTGAACGTGCTGCGCCGTACACACGCTTCAACACTCTCCGGATGCATGCCCATCGCGAGGGCAACTTTCGTGCGCGGCCTGCCGGTTGGCGCGCGTGGAGGGACCCAACATTGCAGGACCCGTATGCGCCCTTCGTGATGCAGTCGCCCACCCGCCACGTGGACCGGGCGGCTTCGGGCATGTGGTTTGGCATGGGGCACTTTGCCATGAAGGACTTTTTTGGTATTGGCCGCTGGCGCCTTGCATTAAGGTTGTCCATCTGGGGCTTTGGAGGATGGGGCTATGCCCTCTCGTCGTATGCACACCGCATGCATCGCAACGGATGGGAGTGGAAGAACCGCGGTGCCGTCTTTGCGATGGATTGAGATGGAGGGGAATTGGGATGGAACCAACAGGAATGAGCCAGTGAACATCATCAGCATCGTGAGCAAAACGAAAAAGAAAAAAAAAAAACAGAAAAAAAAATGAAGTGGGGTATATAAATATGTGTGTGTAAGCGTGTATTTACACGTGTGTCTGGATGCAAGTGGATCCTGCAGAAAGGGCTTTGTACAATTCCGTGTACATACATGCATGCCCATATATACATATATACCTGTATGAATATATTATACCCATAGGGATTTTATTTGGTTATTTCTATAATAGAAACTTTGGAAATGAATAAATGTGCCCCGATGGAAAGGGGGGGAGAGAAAGACAATAAATAAAAAAGCACAGCTTTTATTTATAAATACAACTTATGTCTTTACCCATAAATTCATTTGCTTCCGCAAGGAGGACGGTGGTGGAAACTTGGATGAGGACTGTTGTTGTTGTTGTTGTTGTGACGTGTAGAGGATTTATGGAATGGAGTGTGTGTGTGTGTGTAATTTTTTGTTTGTAAGGATAACCAAAAAAAAGGGGGAGGTGGTGTAGATGTGAGTGTTGACGGTTTTTCCTCGTTCATCTGCTTCATACCTGCCTTTTCCCGCCCCATCCACATCCAACTTGAGCGTTTTTTTATATATTTATTTATTTATTTATTTTATTTATTTTTGGTTGGTGTGTTTTTTGAGTGTTACCTGATGCCTTGAAATGGAGGGGGAGTGGGGTAGGAGAAGAGCGAGGGCAAATTGTTCTTTCCTTTTGCTGTCGTTTTTCCTTCTTTATTATTCCTACCAGCCCATTGCATCCAACCGTTGCTGCTTCTGTTGTTAATGCTGCCTTCTATGCGGGAAGAACCGAAAAGAAGGTGGAGGAGGAAGAGGGGTGTGTTTGTTTGTGTGTTTGTGTTGTTTTTTTTTTTTTTTTGCGAGTGGGACTGTTGAAAGACCGCCACTGTGTTGTGTGGACCCCATGACAGGGCTTACGTGTCACGAGGGCAACTCCAATTTTTAATCTACGTGAATAAATGTAATGAAAGAGAAAGAGAGAGGGAGGGAGGGTTTTTTTTTTTCTTTTTTAAAGCGTGTTTGTGAACCCTGCATGAATTTAAATTTGGAAGAAGAAGAGTGTTAGGTAAATTAAATCAAAAAGGAGAAACTGTTTGTGGGCTGCTCTTGCTGCTTTTCCTTCTTTTTTTTTTTTTTTTTTTTTTTTCTTTTGTATGAATGAATGAATGAATGATATACGTATATATGAATATGTATAATATACACATGTGCACTTTTGGTTTTACTCTCTCTTGTTATTTCCATTTCCCAATTATTATTATTATTTTCTTTTTTCTTTTTTCTTTTTTTTTTTTATGTTCTTTTCTTTTTGTGTGTGTGTGTGTCTGTATTTATATGTTGGGTGGGGTTTTTCATTTATGTTTTCTTTAGAGCGGGATATTGTGGGAGTGTGATATCGCGCCATTATTTCCTTCGTATACATCATTACACAGAGGAAAGGAAAGGGGGAAAAATAGTTGAAGTAAATGCAGCGCTCCATGCGGGGTTTGTGGCTTCTACGGCCATCGGTTACAACCTCCTCTGCGTCACGGCTACCGCCGCCGCTGGTGCTGCTGCAAAAACAACAACATGCGCGTCGTTTTATGAGTGACGGCGGCTCAAATGGCGTGGATGCCTCTTCCGGTGAGACGGCTGTGGCCCGCCGGGCTCTGCCACCGTCGGACTTCCCGGAGCGGAGTTTCCTCAAGTGCATTGAGAAGGAGATGCAGGACGAGGCCCTGCGGCTTGACAAGGAGGAAGGGCCGCCACCGCCACCGTCTGGGTGGGAGATGTACCATGCACCGGGGACGAGTCTCTTTTACGGCCGCCGCTGGTGGGTGCCGCCGACTCCTGTCACACCGACAGGGCAACGTGTGGCGCCGCGTGTTTTGGAGCGGCACACAATCCGAGTGCAGCTCACAACGCGAGATCCCTCACTGGATCCGGAGTGCGATGTGCGTGGCGAACACTTTCCCTTTTCCCTGTTTGTGCAACGCGTCGCCGATGGTGCCGGTACGTCGGCAGCCACTGTTCATGGATCCTCCTCCTCGCCTCCTGTCAACCACGCGGAGAGGGCACATGAGGTGTTGGGAGAGGAGGTGGAGGAGCGCGGCCTTTACGAGCAGAGTATCGAAGTACGGGCCGATTTTGTGGAAGGAGAATTAGTTGTCGACCATGTTGTCTTTCATGGCACATTTAAACCCTCCGCGGCATTCAAGCCTCGGACGAATACCCACAGCAATGCAACTGAGCCCCAAGAAACTGAGGACAATAAAAATAAATCCTCTTGTGTCTCGACAGAATCGGAGGTGCATTACAACAATATGTTTGGTGGTTATCCTGGACCGAATTTAGACGAGGCGGAGGAAGAGGTACTTGACGGGATACAGGCCTGGCTTGCAGAGCGCTGTATCGATGATCAATTTGGTGAGTTTGTTGGTCAGTACTCCGTGTGGGTGGAACAGATGGAGTACGAGAGGTGGTTACGGCAACTACGGGATTTTGTGACGGCTTAAAACGACACGAGGGGAAAAAAAAGGATGGAAGTTTACCTCCTCCTCCTCCTCCTCCTCTTCTCCCTTCCCCAATGAAACTAAAGATAATTGTCGCCATGTCTATTTCTGTCTGAATACATGAAAAAGACAGAGACAGGGGGAGTTGTATACATGTATGCCATTGCCTGTACGTATCATGTTGCATGTGCTCCTAACACCCATCATTACCCATACATAAATACATACGAAAATTAATGCAAGCCTCTCATGATTACTCATATAAGATTTTCTTTTTGTTCTTTTTGTTGTTGTTGTTGTTGTTGATTTATTCTTCTTCAAACCGTATAAAATACCCCGTCCCGCTGCGATAACTCCCTTTTCTGTTGTTATTTATTTACCGTTAAGCAAAAAAAAAAGAAAAGAAAAAAGGTTGGAGGGGGAGGGAGGGGAGGGAGAAGTGAAAATGAGGAACAGAAATTGTGAAGAGAAAGAGATTATACAAGAATATTTCTGTATATGTATGTATGCATGTTAATTAAGAAGGCAGCATCTCATAATGTGTATTTACCCTCTTTTTTTTTTTTTTTTTTTCTTTTTTTTGCCTTATTTCTCCCATTTCTTTTCTGCGTGCACATGTACGGACAACGATTAGCTACCGGAAGGAGAGGGAAACAGGTAGTAGACCGTCTAACGGCGACG